CTGGCCGCGGAGTTCCTCCTCTTTCTCCTCATCTTCCTCCTCCTCCTCCTCCTCCTCCTCCTCCTCCTTTTCCTCCTCCTCCTCCTCCTCCTCCTCCTCCTCCTCCTGGTGCGTGGCCGAGGCGGACGCGTGGTCGCCCACTTGATCTTGAGCTTGAATGCCCCGCAGGCGCAAGCCGCATGTGGGCTGCCCGGACCTGCGGCAGGAGCGTTCGGGCATCGTCGGGCCCGACGCACGGGCCCCCTCCTCCTCCCGTGCAAGGTAACGACCGACGGTAACAAAATAACGCGAATTAGCAACACGGGACTTGAATCAACACGGGAATTAACGTGAATTAACAAAATAACAAAATAACGTGAAACAACACGGGACGTGAATAACAAAATAACGTGAATTAACAAAATAACGTGAATTGACAACACGGGACTTGAATCAACTTGCTGCTCGGATCGAGGAGGCCGAGACGGGAGATGGGGCACACAGGGAGAGAACACACCCTAACACCGAGGACACACAGTCGAGGAAGCGGGGACAGGTGAAATAGTGGGCAAAGCTGTCGCGAGCACCGCGGCCTAGAAGACAGCGCGAACCACGCTCTTGAAGCCTCGCTCCCGCAGCCCATCCACCGACCATGGTTTTGATCACGCCCGCGGCCCAGGGTCCTGGAAGCTTTCGCGCAAAGCCTTGGACCGCGGCCAGCCGGGCGCCCTGGATCGCACGGGAGCACTCGGGGAACCAAGACAAAAGACGGGAATGAAAGGCGCGGTGGGAACATGGGGGAAACACAACGGCACGCTACTGGCGGGCGAGGACACGCTGGAGTTTCGCCTTGGGATCTGCACAAACTTTCGCGCCATGCTCACGCGCGCGGCGACGCGCCTCAGCCCGCACGGGGCGGCTCGGAAATCCTCGCGCCGCCTCGCGGAACGACCCGACTAAGGGTTCCGAGCCCCGGGATTGCGGCGACAACCTGCCACGGCACACATGCACCAGAGGGAGTTCCGCGAGGGCCGCGTCGTGCAGCTGCTGATGCAGCCTCGGCCACTCGGGAAGCGTCTTCGTCGCATATCGCATCACAGCGGCAAGATTCGCGACCGGCCCGCTCTGCATGGCTGGCCCTCCCCCCCACGATGCTATATTGAACAGGTCAACCCGCGGTAACGCACGGCGAGGCACCGAGAGCGACATGGCCAGACACGCGTGCTCCAGGCGCGCAAAGAAGTGAGGCAGATATATGTGGTGACTCATATGATAGCACTGTGATCGCTCGCTCGTCATACACAGAGGCCGCAGCAGCTTGTGGGCCCTTCGAGGCCGCGATCGCCGAAGTGCGATCGTAGTACTTCAAGAACGGCGCTGACCAGGATTCCCCCGTGGCCGATGGGCCTATCAAGACCCCGAAGTATTTCACCCGCGGACAAACACGAAACTCGGGCAGCTCCCTTCGGAGCACTCCTCGATGTCTTCAACGACGGCTGGCGCAAGAGGCACAAGACAACACTTCTGACTCTTGGGAACGAGAGATGCGACGCGACAGGCAGCACGAAACGCGACGGCCATGAGCTTCAACACCGATATCTTAAACAGGCAGGCGCCCACGTCGTCGGCACACGCTTCGACCTCTCTTCGGCCTGGCGCCACAATGAGCTGGTGGAGGTGACGGAGGAAGGGGTGGGAGGCAATGGAGTAGAGGGCACCCGACGCAGGGCATCCTTGGATGACCCCTGAGGATATCACAATGAGAAATCGGCCGGCGCAGGACACCTGTCCGACGCAGGAAGCACAGTCGCAGATCGCTCTGAGGAGGAGAAGCAGAGGACGAGGGAGGCACAAGCAAGAGAAGGAGCTGAAGATCCAAGACCGGGCGATCGAATGGAACGCCTGTACAAAATCGGAGCCTGCAAGGACTGGTCTCCGCACTTCAGACCTTGGTTCCATACCGGCGATGCGGGGCGCCGTGGCCAACTCCAAAATGTCGCAACCAAAACTCCCCCCTGGGGTAAATCCGCCGCGGCGGGCGTCTACAGTTCAGGAAGGCGCCTGGACAGCCCCGAAATACAAACGGATATTGAAATCGTCACATCACTGGTTTTCAAGCCTACCGGGCGGGCCTGCAAGGCCTCGCATGAAATCAATCCCCCTCGCCCCCGTCGGCCCACTTCGGGACCCGCGCGCCCCTCAGATCGCTAAGGCCGGAAAAGCACAGTTGCCCCGCTAGACACCAACGAAGCGCCTCTTCCAACACTTGCGCCCCCTGCGGGCGGTACCTCCATGCCTGGCAATGTAGCACATCAGGTCCAGCGGCGTTGACGGGCGCTCTCGGAAGCTTGAACGGGGCCGACCTCGCGGCGGGCATCGGGAGGTCCAGGAGGCCACCCTCGGGGGCGAAGCGCGACAGGCACTGGTCAGCAGCGGCCTGGTCGACGACTTTCGCGCGAAAGACGGGGGCCCAAGTCTGCGACAGTTCGGCGGCAAATATTTCCGCGGGGCCCGCGGCCTCGCGGTTGCCGGCCCCGGTCCCCTGGAGGCAGAGTTTGTGGTCGTTTGTCGCCCACGACTCCACCCTTCCCTCGAGCCCTCGGATCCCCCGTCGCATTCTCAAGCGTTTCTGGTGCAACTTCTCCGCGGCGAACGCTGCCGACGCGCGAGCACGGTCATGGCCCGCATGGTTCAATGCGGCGTTGAGCTCGCTAGAAAGAACTAAAGATTCCTCGGGCCCCACAATGCTGACTTTCTGGGCCCGGGGATCGATGTCGGGAAATCGCCGCCCTAATCCATGGGCAGCCTGCACCCGATGAGCGAAATCGAGGTCTTGTTTCCAAACAGCTCGACCGATCGATTTCGCGACCATCCGCCTCGTGAACGTCGTCGTCGCGGACGTCAGTACCATGGCGTCTCGAGAGAAACGAGCGGCCTCCCCCATGACAGTTTTGCGGAACTCACGCGTCAGCGGGGCGCCGAGGTGGTCGAGAGAGACCTGCTCCACAACTGACTTGCGAGGCGCGTGGGCGACCAGCCAGGCAGCGAGCAAAAGATGCGGTCCATGTGAGATATCGACTTCTGCGGCTGGCAGTAGCGCGTCGGCTCGGACAATTCAAACTCGACGAAATCGCGAGCGATCGCGCTGCCCAGTCGTTCCCGGGGTTTTGACACCATCGGCGGACAGGAGCAATCCGTCTTCGAAACTCACCCCCAGACAGCCCCGAATCAAAAACACAACCAGGAACAGGAGGCACCCCCGCGAAATCCAAGTCCCACATTAAGAAGGTGACGCATTTCGTCGGGCCGCGACTGGACAGCCTCACGCCCTCCGAGATGCGGCATTTGAGCTCCACGCGGGCCTCGGGGGAGATTCCTAACTTGCGCGCGTCGCAATGGGCGACGGTGACCCCCTCGCTCGGCAACTCCGCGCCCCGTCTGCAGACCCGACCCACGACTAAGGCCCCGCACCCCATCCTCGGGGGGCTCGGGAGGGAGCGGCAAATCTGGAAAGAGGGTGACGACGCCTCCTCGGGAGCGACGCGCGCCAGGATGATAAAGAAAATCACGCAGCTCACGCCAGGAACCCCGCGCCCCCTGCGCCCCCACGAGCGGCCCAGGCGCGAGCAGGTTCGAGAGGCGCGCGAGCTTCTTCGAGCGCGGCGGCAGGCTGCGGCGAAACAAAAACCTCGCGCCCCAGGAACCCAGCGCCAGCGGCACGCCGACTCCCCCCCTGGGCTTCCAGACCTGGAGGAAGGCGTTCAAGACTCCACGACGGCGCGGCCGCATCGCCAGCGACAGCCGGCTTGGCAACGCCCTCGATCTGCCCCCTGGCGAAGCCCAGCTAACGGAGGCCGCCCAGATCCACCGCGGGACCGCGGCGCCGCTGTCCTCGGGCGTGATCTTGCAGAAGGGCGCCCACTGGCACGAGAGCTCACCTCTGGACTCGTCCATGAAGATGCGGCGGTTCGGGCAGGTGGACTCCAGAGCTCTTTTCGCGCGCCTCAGCGCCAGCTCGCGTTGCACCTGGAACGGGCTCGTGTCCTCGCTGATGCGGAGCTCCTGCCGCTGGCTGGACGCGTCGGCGACCGAGAACCTGGCCCTTTCGAGCCACGACGAAATCGCATTGGAAACTTCTCCACGGGTAACCATAGTCGGCGACCGAAAAAGAATGATCAATGGATCAGGCTCCCTGTCGCATGCAGGATTGATGGGCTTAGACTCAGGCTTGTCGTGAAGCAGGAAAGTCAGCTGCTTCTCCATGCGCGTGATATTGAGCTGATGTGCGTCCAATCTCTCGGTGTTGATGCGACAATCACTATCCACCTTGCCGATACGTGTTTCGACCTGTCAAGGTAGCGATCCATAACTGGCATGTACCGTACTGGCCAAGCTCGTGACACTCTCTCCATCTTGGCCACCGCTGCCAGCAGCTCAGCTCTGGCGTGGTCGGCCTACCTCTTGAGCTCGGTGTCCGCGCCCCTTTCAGCACACGGTGTGGCGGTACCGTGCGTTCACGAACAACAGTAGTACGGCCACTGCCAAGGCTTCCAGCAGGAGACATGAACCCATCCTCTTCGTCGCCCTGTGTGCCTGCACCAGCACGGGCGGCTCTCTCGCGCTCACGGAAACGCGTGCTGTCACGAAGCTTGCGGTGTCCCACTGGCTCCTGCGATGGGAATGTCGGCGTGGCCTCGATCGGCTCCACCAGACGGCGGCGCTCCTCAGCCAATGGATCAACATACATGAGACTGGAGAACGGGAGTGCTGGAGACTGGGAGGGCTCGAGAGGCCGAAACCGGGGGCCACCACAGGCCCGAAATGATTCGGAAGAAGCCTACAGATAGGCCACAAAGCTAATCGCTGGTTCTCGTGCGTCTATAGCATTTCACAATGGTTAACCTTGAGCCAAAATGACTACGAACCTCCTCCTCCTCCTCATCATCATCATCATCCTCCTCCTCCTCCTCCTCCCCCTCCTCCGCCTCCTCTTCCTCCTCCTGTTCCTCCTCCTCCTCCTC